CCATGGGCTCACTCCGGGTAGGGAGGGTCCTCCAAGGCCATTTCATCCCTGCATCCCCAGGGCCAAGGGCACTCTGGGTTTCTGTACATGGCTTCTATGGGCAGGAGATGATGATCAGGTTGCTCTCCCCACCAGGTGGTGGCCATCGACCTGGACGAGGGCCCCAACGGGCGGGTGTCGTACCGCATGCAGGTGGGCATGCCCCGCATGGATTTCCTCATCAACAGCACCAGCGGGCTGGTCACCTCCACGGCCGTGCTGGACAGGGAGAGGATCCCCGAGTACTTCCTGAGGGTGGTGGCCAGCGACGCCGGCGCGCCCGCCAAGAGTTCCACCAGCACCCTCACTGTCAAAGGTGGGTGCAGCAGGACCCCACGGTGACACCACCTCCCTCGGGGAAATGCAGTTTCTGTAGGAGACTTACTGGAAGCAGAGTCAGGTCTGGCTTTGTGCATAGGGATGGCTCCAACCCCATGGGCTCCGTGTCTGCTATCAACACACTGCAGAGATGGGGAAAATGTGGTGTTTCTGGCAGGGTCCCCAAATCCTCTATTTCTTTTCCTCCACTCCCCCATCCCCAGTGCTGCTTTTTTCTTTTGCTTCAGCATGTGATTCCCATCAGCTGCGTGCCTGGACAGCCCACGCAATCCCAGTTCAGAGCTGGAGCCTGATTGAGAGGCCTGCCTTTAATTTAATGCCTTGCTGTTTACTGGCTTCGTGCAAGTCTGGTGCTGAAAAAGGATAAACGTCATCTGGAAATAAACTGACCCTGGATTGTCCTCAGGCCTGAGTTTGGGAAAGAAGTTCCTGGTCTCTACCATGCCCCAGGAAATACTGAGCTTAAATATAAGCCCCAGATTTTCCTTTGAATGGGGGTGGAAACAGGCTTGGTGAAAATAGTAACTTGAATTTCAGTGATGTAATGGTTTTTTTGGCTGTCATGGGGGTGAGCTGTGTGTATCAGAGGCAAACAAATACAGCCTACAGCCACTCTGCAGGCACCCCCACTGCACAAATGGCAGGGAGGGTCAGGCAGAGCATTCCCTGGAATGCTGAGAGGAGCAGCCAGGAGGTTTGGGAGCCCAGCCTGGCATCTGCAGGAGGGGCAGCCCCGGCAGCACACTCAGCTCTGCTCTCCCTTTTCAGTTCTGGACGTGAATGATGAGAGCCCCACCTTCTTCCCCGCCGTCTACAACGTGTCCCTGCCCGAGAACGTGGCCCGGGATTTCAAAGTGGTCCGGCTCAACTGCACGGACGCCGACATCGGGCTGAACGCTGAGCTCAGCTACTTCATCACAGGTGTGAGCCCCCTGCCAGGAGGGGAAGGCGGGCTGCAGGAAGGCACAGGATGCCCCAGACCTCGGCCCGGGTGTTCTGCACTTCAGCGCTGCCTTCCCCAGCCCCTCCAATCCTTGTCCGGCATCGCCCTCTGCTGAACGGCCCCGCTCGGCTCCCGGCCACGCTGACCACTCTGCTGACCCTAGAAAAGCATGAGGATGGGCAGAACACGGCTAGGGAGCAAGGGCTGGGGTGGCTTCCATCAGTGATTATGGTTGGAAGGCATAAATGGAATTTTGGGACATTTTTGGGCAGCTGGGATTTGGTGGGCAGCAGTGCCCGGCTCACTCCACAGCTGCAGCACCTGCAGCAGGAGGCTGGGGAATCCCCTGGCCATGGTTTGACTTGCAAACTGCACACCAAGCCCTCAGGAAGAGGCTAAAAACAAAAGTGTCACCACCAGAGAGTCTCTTTTCCCACAATAGCAGCCTGCTGTTCCATGTCACAGCCCCTCCAGCCTCTCCACAGGTGAGACAGGGTGTGCTGTCCCACAGGTAGCACATCTCACGTGCAAAGTTACCCCAGTTTGCTTCAAAGCATTCAGGAAATGATCCAGCTTTTCCTACAGCCATTGGATTTTTCCTGTGCTGTGAGGCAGAGGGAAGGTGCTCTGCCAGGGACAAGGTACAAAACCATCCTTGCACAGCTGGGCTGACCCTGTGCCCAGGCCACAGAATCCAAGGAAATGGCCTCAAGTTGCACCTGGGAAGGTTCAGATTACATACTGGGAGAATTTTCTTCACTGAAAGGGTAGCCAGGGGTTGGGACAGGCTGTCCAGGGGAGTAGTGGATGTTTCATCCCTGGAGGTGTTAAAGGTCAGGCTGGACAGGGCTTGGAGCAGCCTGGTCTAGTAGGTGTCCCTGCCCACGGTGAGGTGTTGGAACAAGATGACCTTTAAGGTTCCTGCCAACCCAACCCAACCCATTCCAAGTTTCTATTGTGCTTGTGCTTTGCTGCAGGAGGGAACCAGGATGGCAAATTCAGCGTCGGCTTCAGGGACGGGGTGGTCAGGACAGTCGTGAGTCTGGACAGGGAGACTGTGGCATCCTACACACTGATCCTGGAGGCCATTGGTAAGGATTTCCCGGGCATCTCCCTGCCACACAGCCACATGTGGTGGCCATGCACATGTCAAGCTCCCTTGCAGGCGTGTCAGAGGGGCAGCAATCTCTCTCTACAAACCAGAGCCTGTGCCTGGTGCTAACATTACACAGCCCATGTGGATTAATGTGTCCCACTTCCATCATGACTTTTGCAGAGGGTGTATTCTCCTCTCAGGTTTGGAGCCCCAGGGCTCTCTCCCTTTCACCTGGGGAAGGCAGGCCCCCTGTTCCTGAGAGGCTCCACACTGTTCAGGACAGCCCTCTACCCAAAAATGCCAAGGCCAAAGCATCATTGCCCTCCTGCCATGCCAGCCCTTGGCTCTGTGGCTGCTGATTAACCCTGAGCCACCTGGCACGGGCAGAGGGTCCATGTGCCAAACTCAGCTTGGCTATCACCCCCAGAGCTTTATAATGATATGCCTGTTCACAGATGACTTGGATGTCCCTTTTGAGAGGAGAAGTGAGTGGCCTGGACAGAAATGTTGGGGGCACAGCATTGCAGGTGCCCCAGGGGCTGCAGCAGGGATGCTGCTCTGCCTGGGCACACAGGACTGCATCCCAAGGGCCAAAGGGTCTGTTGTGCCCCTCCCATGGAGATCACACTGCCTGTGTTTTCCCAGATCCCACAGGCTCCCAGCTGGGTGGGTTTAGTGCTCCCTGTAGATCAAGCATGGTGAAAAATCCAACCCCAATCTGTGCTTCCCAGTGCCTTATTCTTCCTGGCAAATCCAAGAGCTGTGCTGCCATGTCCTTGTCTACTGAACATCAGTCCATCACAGTGCTCTTTGACTGTGGGCTGAGCTGCAGCTATGGAAAATCCATCAGGCTGCCTTCATCTCCCAAATCCCTGGCCTCCAGCAGTCCCTTCACTCGGTGTATGGAACTGCAAATCCTCTCTAATGATCAGTTGCATTTCTAGCCTCATTGGGCTCCATGGCAGAGCTTGGGGGTGGTTTGACTTTTCCTTTTTCTTTCAAAATAGCATGTTGGTTTTGCAAGAACCACAACAATAGAAAGGGGGGGAAAAACCCGTGGTTCAGTGTGGGATTTGAAATGTTTTAGTTTAGAAATCTTGATCCTGTTATTTCAGCAGCCATGGGCTGAGCACCCCCTGTGCAAAGAGGTGACTGAACCTCCCTCTGTCCCCTTTCTGTCCCTACAGACAACGGCCCCACCGGGAACCGGCGCACCGGGACTGCCACCGTGTACGTGACTGTCCTGGATGTCAACGACAACAGACCCATCTTCCTGCAGAGCAGCTATGAAGTCAGTGTTCCCGAGGACATCCCAGCTGCCAGCAGCATAGTGCAGGCACGTGGCTCTTCCCCTGGGACCCGGGGGTGGGAGGTGGGAGTGCCCCACTGACTGTGCCCTGACCATGAGCTGCTGGAAGCCCAGGGCAGGGATTTTTCTCTCCCTGCCTGTTCCCTCGGGCAGGGTGAGATGTGTTCTTGCTCATACACTCCTCTGCTAGCCCAGGCTGTGAGTACCAGGGAGAAGGCAGCAAAGAACAAGGGAAAATTAAGAAACTCACCCCATTTCTGCAGGGGGTGAGAGGAGAAGAGCCAAGCCGTGTGCTGGCGAGGCCACTTTGGCTCCATCCCTGCTTTCTCCCTCCTTCCAAACAGAGATCTCCATGGGGAGGGAGAAGAGTGCCTGCAAAGAGATGCTCAGAGAGGGGGGAAACCCTTGGAGAGGGAGGAAAGCATTTGGACTTTGCTTTCATTTTTGTTCCTCTTTGAGGGAGCGGTGGGCAGAGCTGAATGGCTCAGTGAGCACGGGATGAATGTGGGCATTCACACAGGCTTCCAGCATCCCTTCAAACCCAGGCCTCTTCTGGAGCAGGCACCAAAGGCTCTTTGCAGAGGGCCCTGGGAAGGCTCCTCCTGCCTTCAATACCTCTGCCGGCACAGGGAAAGGGACAGCTTTGTCCCCGGCTGTGGCAGGCAGGATGAGTCACCGGCAGAGAAGAAAGGAGCCTTTTGCCTCCTGCAACAAAGGTTTGCTGGGAGCCGTGTGTCTGCCCTGGGCAGCCAGTCCCCAGGGGACCCTGGCGTTCCTCATCACCTGGTGTGCCATGGCACGGTGTACCTGGTGTCTCTGGGATCAGTCTGCAATCCCAGGATGGAGGTGTGCCCTGCACAGGACTCCTAAAAGTGAGCCAGTTTGGCAAATTGGAGGAGTGGAGGGAATTTGAGTCTGACTGGCAGCAAAGTGCCTTTTCTTAGAACCCACTTCCCAGACAAGAAGGATGCCCTTGGAAGTCCATGGCAAAAGAGAGGAAGTAACTGGGGGGAGTTGTTTTTCCACAGAACAACATGGAAGAGAAACAGAAATGAGCCATCACCCGGCTTTAGTTTAATTTACACCTTCAGTGTGAACCATTTGTACAGAAAGTCTCTCCCCCCAAATGCATCCCCACAACCTCAGGGCAGCAGGAGATTTTCTGAATGTTTCCCCATCCCTTTCTCCCAAAACCAGGCAGAGCAGGGCCAGAGAGCAGGAATGGGAATGCATTGACCACAGCCACCCACAGCTCACTGCAGGGAGGGGGGTGACAGGGACCAGGCAGCACGTGGGGGCACGAGCCTCCCTCCACCTGCTCCAGAGCACAGCTCAGGAGGAAACCTCCACTGAGGATTGCTTTCTGTGGAGCAGGTCTGCCCTGGGCTGCCTCTCTTCACGTAGCCAGGTTGCTCCCACTCTCTTCCAGGCTGTTTGTTCAGGTGGAGCACAACTTGCACAATGTTTTCCAAAAGAAATGAAGCAGCAGGATTTTTTTTTTTGCCTGCCCGGTGCTAGCTGCGTGTGGGTGTAGTTTGGATGCCTCCACCTTCCCTGGCAGGAAGCAGTAACCTGGAAAGCATTTGGGAACCTGACATTGCAAAATCTCCTGCCACCTCACAGAGCCTGGAAATGAGTTGCTTAAAGGGTCTCTACTCGTGACACCAAGGGATGCTTGAGAAGTGAGCCAAAAGCTTGGGAAGGAGGAGCAGGGCAAGATCACATTTTGGTGGACTCCATGACGTCCCAGTCCTGGCTGCTGGAGAAGCTCCTGGGACAGGCCAGCGGTCTCTGGGACACCAGCTGGCTCCTCCTGAAGCTGCTGATGGAGCCCCTCAGGGAGCCCAGACGCTTCCAGAGCCTCAGCTGGGGCTCGCTGGCATCCACGGGGTGGTGGGGCAGGCACTCCTGGGGGCCCCAGAGGGACTGGCCCAGCGCTGCTGGCTTGCAGAGGGTGACAAACGTGAGGAGCGTGGCCAGCACCAGGAAGATGCAGACGAGCCCAGCGATGATGGGCAGCCAGTCTGTCACCTCAGGGGATGTGGCACTGGGTGGCACCGGCTCCAGAAGCCCCAGGAGAGGTGTGGTGGGAGAGGTGCCATTGCCAGAGCTCATCTTCCCTGCAAGGTGACACAGAGAAGTGGCACAGGTGATTACAGGTGGAAGCTGGACAGACAGCCACCCTCTGGTTAAACTGATGGGTTCTTGTCATGCCTTGATGCCCAGGATTCTCCCAGCCATGTTTTCTGTGGCACAGGGGGACAGGGGGTGTCCATCTGCTTTGCCAGGAGGCAAAGCACAGAGGTGAGGCTTACACTTGCAAAGTACCACCCTGAGCTGAAGTGCAAAACCACCTGGCCAAGAAATCTGCCTCTGTTTATGGCCTCTGGGAGGACACTTTCAGGGAGCACACACACATTGCACGAAGATTTTCTGGAAGAGATAAATATCCATGTACTACAGAGAGCTCAAAATCCTCCCCCCAAACTGCTGAGGTTTGGTTCTCCTCTGTTCCCCAGAATGCAGGTTTGTTGAACTGGCTGTCATTTGGGGGTTTTGTAATTATTCTCCCAAATAAATTGGACAGTTGGTTGGGCCTGTGCCCATCAAGCTGTAGTGTTGTGCTAGCACTGTCTTTATTATTTTGCAAGGGTGAAGAGTAACACCCTCACCTTACTGATGCAAAAAATCCTCGTGCCAGGCATTTTGCTGACCTGCTTCCAGGCTCAGACATGTCACAGGTGGTACAAACCAGCTTCCCAAAGTGCTAGCAGTGCTAGCTCTTGCCTAACACCTGGTGGAGACTGTCCTCTCCTTTCCCCAGCAGGTGAGATCCTCCCAAGAGCATTCTGCACCCCTTTTTGCTCACATGCACACCCCCAGCCCCAGACAGGCTGTGCCAGAGGCTGGCATCTCTCCAGGTGGAGACGAGGAGTTGAGGGCTGGGGAAATCCTGTTTGTGCCAAGCCTCTGCAATGCCCTGTGTGCTGGAGGCAAAGCTTTATTATGCTGACTCCCCTGTGGAGATGTGGGAGAGCTGTCTGACTGGTCTGGGGCCGGGCAGACTCCTGGTAAACTAGGATTTGGATTGAGCCAATTTAAAGCCAAGATCTTAGGAGGGGAAAGGCAGGGCTGCAGGGGCTGCCAGGGTCTCTGGGTCTGCTCTTGCAGCCACCATCCCAAAGTGACACAGGTGTGTGTAAGGCAGCAGCCAAACACTCACCATAAAACATTCCAAAACGTGCAAAGATATCAGTGGCATGGTTTTATTCACTAAGGGTGTGTCAGCCTGCTCAGAGCTTGGGGGTCTTTGGGGAGATGATGCTGTTTCCATGGGTCAGAGCCAGGTCTGTGCCTGGAAAATGGAAAATGCAAAAACTAATGGGTCAGCATTTGAGAGGGTGAATCCCTGTGTGTGTTGCAGGCAGTCCCAGGGATGGAGCTCTTGTCACCTCCTCCATGGTGATGTTTGCACCTCTCTTCACCCCAATTGTATTTTTTTATCCTTAAGCAGCTCCATCCCTTCCCCTCAGCTTTGAGAACAGAGCAGCAATCCCAAGGACTCTCTGCTCCAGGGACAGGCTCCTCGGTGCTGCCCAGGGCAGGAGAGCCAGCAGGCAGGGCTGCAGTGTGTCCCACACCACAGGCAGCAAATCAAGGTTTCCACGGCTACCTTAAAGCTGGCATTTACCGACTGCATGTGGTGACCTTACATTGTTCCTTAAGAGCCAGCCAGGAGGCGTGGACAATTCCTTCAGGCTCTTTAATTCCTTCAGGCTGGTTTTGCTCCCTTGCTCATGAGTTTGTCTTTTAAATTCACTTGACAGTGTTGCATAGAAACCCATCAGGAGGGATCACACTGATGTTTTCCCAGGCTTTTTCAGCCATGCCCTGGTTCTCCTCACGCCCAGCTCAGCTGGCAGAGCTTTCATGGCATTGCCCCTTCCCAGCATCACTGCCCCACCCAGGCTCCACACTCTTCACCCTGCTGGGTTAAAAGAGCTTTTCCTGCCCTGGAAATCCTCCCCAGAGGTTCATCCCTGCCTGATCAGCTCCAAATCTGACACAACCCCATGAGCACTCAGGCTCCAGCACTGGCCGCGAGGCAGATGAGGATCAGAGGGGAAAAAAGAGAAATTGCAAAAGGTAAAATGCCCCCGAGAAAGGTGGAAAGGTAGAAAAAAAGAATGATTCTCATGCCTGAGCAGCAGAGAGGGTTCTCCTGCCCAGCACCAGGCACTGCTCCCTGGCCTGGCCCAGCTGCCTAGTTTGGCAGTTTTTCCATCTGCTCTCCCTCCCTTTCCTCAAACTCCTGCAAAGAAAAGCCTGTTTTCAGGCACTGCCTGTGCCACAGCTCCCATGAAAAGCAGCTCTCATTCCCCTGCCCGGCTTGCTTAGCAACACTTTTCCTGGGGCTCCCCGACATTTCTCAGTGCACTAAATCTTCCCAGGGGCTGGCAGGAGGAGGTGATGCTGGGCAGGACCAAGCCCGCGGCTGCCTGACCCGCCTGCTGGCTCCCCAGGGCTGTGAGTGATGCTGCTCCCCAGCAGCCTCGCTGTTACACGGCACAGCTGCCCCACAGGACCTTTTTCCTCTCCCATCACCGGGAGAGGCTCGGCTGGGAAGGGAGGGGGAGATGCCTGACCCCAAACTTTGCACCCCCACCCATTTTTCAGCGCTTTCCCCAGGCTGAGGGCAGCAGCTCTGCAGCCGGGGGTCTGTCTCAGCCCTGGGGGTGACCTAAGGAGCTGGCAGTGGCTTTGCCACGGGGGTTTGGGCTCCCTACCTCTCGCCAGCTGGCCGAGCCCGGGCTCTGCCTCTCGCACTCCCTCCTTGCCGCCTCTCCCACCGCGCTCTGCCGGCTGCCAGCCCCCTCCTCCCTTTGGGGAGGGTGGGACAGAGGTGGCAGCCGGCTGGGGACAGCCTGAGCCAGCAAAGCCAAGGAGCCCTGAGCCCCTTCCCGGTGCTGAGTCCTGCCGGAGCCGTGTCCCCTGCTGGGGTCGAGCCCCCGGGATGCGTTTCCTCTGGATTTATCCCTGCAGGATGAATGAATGGTACAGTCGTGGGCTGAGCCCCCGTGGTTGGAGGGCTGGCACCTGCCCTCCACATGCCTGCTCCCAGTTTTCCCAGAAAATCGACTTTTTTCCCATTCTTTTATTGCCCTTCCTCATCCTTTTCTGACACCTTTCGCCCAGAGGGGGCTGTGACAGGCTGGCTGTGTCTGCAGCCCACCCTGTGGCAGAGGGATAAAAGTGGCTGGAGCTCAGGTGCTTTCCACCTGCAGCACAAAGAGCTTTTCTCCCCCTGCTTGCCCTGCAGTGCCGCTGTTTTCCCAAGTTTGGGACAGTTTGTCCAAGTACCACCATTCCTTTGGGACCTCAGCAGGTCAAACCAGCAACAGCCAAGCTTTCCTCAGGCTGTAGGCTGGCAGGAGCACACCTTGCTTTAGTGCAAACTACTGATTTTTAATAAAATACAAGTGCCTGGGCTGACCCATAGCACCTAGTTTGTGTAGCAGAGCTTCAGGCTCAGGGTGAGCTGGGAAGAGGGGCTGTTTGCAAGGTGCAGTTGGCTCATCCTTAAAGGCACTCTCCTGGGCACAGTGGGGCAAGGAATGGCACAAAAAGCTGAGAAGTTTTGCCTCCCATCCCTTTGTTTTTCCTGCTCTGGCTACATGATAGCTTTTCCCTGTGCCATGCCAAGGCAGCTGGTCTGCCTGGGCATCGCTTGCCTGCTGTTGTGGGGCCCATCCATCCCATCCATCCCATCCCATCCCATGGGACAGGAGACAGCCCAGCTCTGCCTCAGGGAGCCCAGCAGGTGAAAGAGCTGGTTTGGGAGGGAGAACTCCCCCCTGTGAAGGGAAGTTCTTGGTGGAACGTGGAATAATCCACAAGCAAGGTATAAATTGGTCTGGGACAGAGGGAAAGAGCGTGTGTGGGCACAGGGGTGAGAAATCCAGACAGAGGTCAGTATTTTCCAAATTTTCTGCTGACACAGGGGGAAGGGAGCAAGAACAGTTCAAGGTATCTCAAAACCACATTTCAGAGGAGCATCTCTGACTCCTGCAAGTTGTGTGGGGGTGGGGGTGAAAGCCCTCACTGTTCCCACTGCACATGCACCCTTTGCAGCAACCTTTCCTCTTCCCTGCATAAATCTGGGTGCAAACCTTCCCAGGAAAAAGAAACTGCTGGGTAGTACTGTGGAAAGAGGCAGAAGATGCCTTGCAGAGGGAAGCAGGGAGAGAATAAAGGCTCAGGCATTCCCTGCATCCTCGCCCTGGTGATTTGTGAGTGGCAAAGCTGTGTCGAGCTGTGGGTGCTTTGAGGGGAGTGGGTTTTGCCAAGAAAAGATGCAGGGGCTCGGTGCCAGCTGGACTGGAAGCCCTGGCCCTGCTGGTCACTGCCAGGTCCCGCTTCCCAGCTGCTGACTGCTGGCTGGGGTTTAGGGAAAGCACTGCAGTCTTGTTCAGTGACACCAGAGGGGACCCGTGCCTTGGTTTTCCCAGGGCACATGGCAGACTCGCTCCGTGCCAGGACTGTGCAGTGCAGCAGAGCCCAGGGCTGCTCCCACCCCTGCTCAGGGCTCACAAGGACGCTCTGGGCTGGTTGCATTCACATTTCCTTTGGCAGTTTTTCCCTGTGCTGCTGCTTGGGTGACTCACCAGGATGCCATGGGCTGCGTGCCCACCAGGCACGGGAGCAGCTCCCCCTGCCCAGCTCAAATCATCCCGGCAAGGCTCCATCCCTGCTGGCAGTGCCACTGGGGCAAGCACTGGAATGCAGGGTGGGATTGAGGGAGGCACCTCCTCCGTGGGATTTGTGGTGTGGTCCTGAGGCTGAGCTCCCACCTCACTCCAGCAGCCAAGGGCTCCTGAGCCCATTGTCCCTGCTGTTCGATGATGAGGGCAGGGTAACTTATTTTGCTTTGTATTTGGTAAGCTCCGCAGCTCAGGGGGAGGAGAAGGATGTCCAGCTTTAGCAGGGTAGGAGGACTCATCCTGGTCTGGAATTCTCTGCCCTTGACCTCTACTCCTCTGCTTTTCTCATGAAGGTGAAAGCCACAGATGCGGATGAAGGCATTAACGGGAGAGTGTGGTACAGGATTGTCAAGGGTAAGTCCAGATGCCCCTTTGTACATCAGGGAGTTTGTCCCAGGCTCTACCCAGCCTCAGGAGGTTGAACTTGCCATCCTTTTGCATTTTGGAGCCCACAGAACCATTTCTCCCAGCCCTAAGCAAAATTCAGCTTTAGGATTCATTGCTGGGGAATGATTTGTCATGGATGGACAGCTAGAGAGAATCCTAAAATCACAGAATGCTTTGGGTGGGAAGGGACCTTAAAGTTCACCTCATTCCAACCCCCTGCCATGGGCAGGGACACCTTCCACTACCCCAGCATGCTCCATGGCCTTAAACACTTTCAGGGATGGAGCAGGCACAGTTCCTCAGGGC